CAGAGCCAAAACCATGACATATTATGTTTCTGTTAGAAGGAGCACACAATTGATTTCCCTTTATTGTTGTAAGGATACGTGTAAAACTGGGAGGAGCTTGTTTCATTGCGATTTGGCCATTTTGTGTGACCCCATGTGCGAAGGAGGCCGCTGTTCAGCTCCGCTGTTCCTCCCGTCTTACTCCGCTGCGACTTCCTCTGAGCTCGAGGACAGCATGCGTGAAATTATTGTTCAATTTATAGGCGCAAACATACGGAAATCAATACTTAGATGTCACCATTGTGTGCATCAAGGACGGACAAGAAGATGAGTACAGAGAGCTGGAGAACCGCTTTGTGGCATGTTGTGAAAACAAGCATCTGATCCTGAATGTCAATAAAAAACAAGGAGATGATTGAAGTTTTCAGAAGAAACAGGAACAAGTTGAATCCTGTTGGCTACCCCTGGCTTAGAACCTCTTCTTCCTTTTAGAGTCATTCTCGTTAAACGATGTCCAAGGCTGAATCCTCAGATGTTGGTAGATTTTATGATCTGCAGATTCAAACTTCACACTCTACAGATTCATAACACTGATTTTAGGGTTCAGGCCTGAAAAGATAAAGTAAAATGAACTTTTGATTTAAAAAAAAAAAGGTTAATGACAAAACTAGCAGGGAACCATGAGGAATAAATACCACGAAGCTCTGTAAACAAACCATAAGACACTGTTTAAACATCTGAATGGAGAGAGCTGAAGAAAAAAATAAACAGATAAGACAACAGAGAAGGGAAGCAACCCAACAAGTAAAGAAACATTACTAGATCAACAGCAGCGAGTAGTAACTAGTTACATTAACTTAAGTAACTTAAATCTTTAACTAGGAAAGTTACCACTGAGATTAAAAATCTGTTTTTCAGGGGAAAACTACCTTTATATGTAATTATCCTTTACTTTTACCTAAGTAATATTCTTTCACAGGAATATTAATCTAGGTGTAATATTACTTAGGAACATTTATCTTCCTGGGTATATATTGGTTATTTATTCTCCAGGTGCACAGTATTTATATTAATTATTCTTAAATT